AAGACGAAAGCAAGGTACAGGACGGTCTAGAGAAAATGGCATATTTCTTTCTGCAATTTGACACAAATGCCACGCCGTGGATAAGCCCCCACGTGTAAGCGGTACCGAAATGGCGCTTCGTCAAAGCCAAACTGCCGAGCATCTCCAAACGAAACATGTAAAGTTAAATGTATGATCGAGTAAATACCACGGAATTACAGCAACAGTTAGATTTCCTATCTTCTAGTGAAATTAGAGCATCTACAATCGACGCTTCAAACCACCGTCAAACACCCGGACGGTCGGCAGATCAGTGACCGGTCAAAAAAAATACGACCCAGTCGAGCGCTTTAAACCGGCCTCAAACGCCCGGGCTGATTGAGGGCATGTACAATGCATAGCCTTAAGGTGATGCCTCGCATGCCATGTAGGATCGGATATGACGTAAAGTAGGTTTGGATAGGGAAGCAGGATCCTCTCCAGGAGACGGGTGCTTGTAGAGAAAAAGCGTGGTCTGGTGACAAAAGCTGAAAAGATAGGAGTGAAAAGTAGAGATGCATGTGTACTAGAGTCTTTATTTTTTATTTCTTAATGAGGCACACTAGTGATAGCTTGCATTGGAGAGGAAAAATGAATGTAGGTGCTTCAAATTACTTTTTGTCATGAGGCATATGTATTCATGTGCCACCATTGTACATGCCCTGATACTCCTCATATCCAACCCAAATCTAGGACGGATATGGGTGGCCCGGGCGCGTCCGCCACGTCGGATCCGCGATGGTCCATCCCGCCCGCACATATATTCGTCCACTTCTGCAACCTGGACCAAACCCTAGCCACTCAACTCCCCTCCTCCCCCGCCCCAAGCTCACTTTCGGCGAACTCCAGCATTCTCCGACATGGCGGGCAGTGGATCCGAGTCCTGCGTCAGCCGATCTGCGAACTGGGACCTCATCCCACTCGGGCTCGAGGAGGAGATGGTCGTCCGCATTATGCTTCGCCGCGCCCGCGAGGAGAAATACCCGACAACAATCGGACTCGATCCACCGGGAATCCGTCGCCTCCACCCAAATGGCGCCTGGATCCGGCACGCAGCGCGTTATCGTTGCCTTGCTGGAGACGATGCGCTCCGTCTGGCGTCCAAACGTCGTGGCGGACGCGCAACCCCTTCGTTGGCGCGTCGATGACGAGGCTGTCTATGGCCCGTCCGCTGAGGCTATGGCGTGGTGCGCCCGTCATGTGAGGCAGAGGGCGTGGGAGGTCGTGGCGGATGTTGGCGAGGCGGAGTGGCACTCTCCGACGCCGATATGGGTGGCCGACAACCCCAGACGTCGCAGTCGTGTCGTGGTGGACGTGTCAGCCTCCCTTAAACACGACGGATCCATCGCCGACCTCACATCGACTGGCACCGTCAAGGCTCTGGACTCTGACAAGGAAGAGTAGGTTGTGGAAGACGGCGACGCCTTGAGTCCCGTGAGCCCATGTGTGTCGCATGTCCTACTCTACCTCGTCAGTGACTAGAGCAACACTTTGAGGGGCGTAGCAGGCCGGCGGTGGGCACGGGGGAGATGGATGAGCTTCGCTTAGACCTGGTTTCACGTTGCATGTAATTGTATGGATTTGAGGTTCCGTAATTGATGCATCCGACTGTGGAAATGAATTTTTGAGGTGTGACTGGTCACTATCTACGGACGCGCCCGGGCGCGTCCGCGGGCGTTTGAGGGGGCTGATTTGGTGTATCCACCTATAGATGCTCTTAATTCCCATGATCGGCTTAGGGTTCACTCACATCATTTGCTTTTTTCTTTCCCAGGAAGAAACATCGGGCAATCTCGCACAACCGCCAAGGCGTCTCCTTCAGTCGTTGTCCTCCGGTGACTCCCCTCTGCCGATGACCTCTATCACTGGTGGTGAGGGGGGTCGCCGGATCCACGCATGTGAATCGTTTAGCTTTAGGTTTTAGGCCCTAGTAGCTTAGAATTTTGGTCGTTCATCGTTTTGGCTTCAGTGGTAATGATGACGACGATGAATAAAGAAGCTTCATATCCTTCCTCGACGAGGCGATTGACCCTAAGGTTAGGGATGAATTAGGAAACTAGTTTGTAAGCAAGGGTGGCATGGCGACAATGGTATCCTCGTGGTGGACTTGTGTCCTCGGGCTCCGTCGTTGCGACGGCGTTTGCACCAGCATCGGCACAGAGCTTGGAAGTGAAAGAAATATGCCATAGAGGCAATAATAAAGTTATTATTTATATTTTATTATATCATGATAAATGTCTATTATTCATGCTAGAATTGTATTAACCGGAAACTTAGTACATGTGTGAATACATAGACAAAACATAGTGTCCCTAGTATGCCTCTACTTGACTAGCTCATTAATCAAAGATGGTTATGTTTCCTAACCATAGACATGTGTTGTCATTTGATAAATAGGACCACATCATTAGAAGAATGATGTGATGGATCCGTTATCTTAGCATTATGATCGTTACAGTTTCATTGCTATTGCTTTCTTCATGACTTATACATGTTCCTCACACTATGAGACTATGCACCTCCCGAATACCGGAGGAACACTTTGTGTACTACCAAACGTCACAACGTAAAAGGCTGATTGTAAAGGTGCTCTACAGGTGTCTCCGAAGGTGTTTGTTGGGTTGGCATAGATCGATATTAGGATTTGTCACTCCGTGTTTCGGAGAGGTATCTCTAAGCCCTCTCGGTAATGCTCATCACTATAAGCCTTGCAAACATTATAAGTACTGAGTTAGTTGCGGGATGAAGTATTACAGAACGAGTAAAGAGACTTGCCGGTAACGATATCGAACTAGGTATGATGATACCAACAATCGAATCTCGGGCAAGTAACATACCGATGACAAAGGGAACAGCGTATGTTGTTATGCGGTTTGACCGATAAAGATCTTCCTAGAATATGTATGAGCCAATATGAGTATCCAGGTTCCGCTATTGGTTATTGACTGAAGATGTGTCTCGGTCATGTCTACATAGTTCTCGAACCCGTAGGGTTCGCACGTTTAATGTTCGACGATGATATGTATTATGAGTTATGTGTTTTTGATGACCGAAGTTTGTTCGGAGTCCCGGATGAGATCACGGACGTGACGAGGAGTCTCGAAATGGTCGAGACATAAAGAATGATATATTGGACGGCTATATTCGGACACCGGAAGAGTTCCGAAAAGTTTTGGATAAAACAGTAGTGCCGGAGGGGTTACCAGAACCCCCGGGGAACTAATGGGCCACATGGGCCTTGGTGGAGAGAGAGAGGGGCGGCAAGGGCAGGCCGCTCGCCCCCTCCCCCTTGGGTCCGAATTGTACTAGGGAGGGGGCGGCGCCCCCCTTTCCTTCTCCCTCTCCCTCTCCTTCCTTCGCCCTCTCTCCCTCTTGGTGGAATCCTACTAGGGCTAGTAGTCCTAGTAGGACTCCCCTCTTGGGGCGCGCCTATAGGGGCTGGCGGGCCTCCCCCTTGCTCCTTTATATACGGGGGCAGGGGGCACCCTAGGACACACAAGTTTCTCTCCCAACCGTGTGCGATGCCCCCCTCCACAGTTACACACCTCGATCATACCATTGTAGTGCTTAGGCGAAGCCCTGTGTCGGTAGAATCATCATCACTGTCGCCACACCGTCATGCTGACAGACTCACCCTCGTCCTCAACTGGATCAAGAGCACGAGGGACGTCATCGAGATGAACGTGTGCTGAACGCGGAGGTGTCGTACGTCCGGTACTTGGATCGGTTAGATTGCGAAGACGTTCGACTACATCAACCGCGTTATTGAAACGCTTCCACTTTCGGTCTACGAGGGTATGTGGACACACTCTCCCCTATCGTTGCTATGCATCACCTAGATAGATCTTGCATGATTGTAGGAATTTTTTTGAAATTACTGCATTCCCCAAAAGTGGCATCCGAGCCAGGTCTATGCGTAGATGTATTATGCACGAGTAGAACACAAAGAGTTGTGGGTGATAATAGTCATACTGCTTACCACCAACGTCTTACTTTGGTTCGGCGGTATTGTTGGATGAAGCGTCCCGGACCGACATTACATGACCGCGTTCATGAGACTGGTTCTACCGACGTGCTTTTGCACATAAGTGGCTGGCGGGTGTCTGTTTCCCCAACTTTAGTTTAATCGAGTTTGACTACGGCCGGTCCTTGTTGAAGGTTAAAACAACACACTTGACGAAAAATCATTGTGGTTTTGATGCGTAGGTAAGAACGGTTCTTGCTAGAAGCCCGTAGCAGCCACGTAAAACTTGCAACAACAAAGTAGAGGACGTCTAACTTGTTTTTGCAGGGCTTGCTGTGATGTGATATGGTCAAGGCATGATGTGATATAAATTGTTGTATGAGATGATCAGGTTTTGTAACAAAGTTGTCGGCAACTGGCAGGAGCCATATAGTTGTCGCTTTATTGTATGCAATGCAATCGCCAT